ACAACAATACGTTTTAACCAGAGATCGTACTAACACAGGACAGAATCAAACAAGAATACAGATAGGAATAAAAAGTGATAAAATAAAAAACGAGTAAAATTAGAATAAAATCATAAAATAATGAAAAAAAAATGAATAAGGGAATAAAATAATAAAAATAAACACACTCACGCACACAGACACACACGCACACACACACACTCATGCACACAGACACACACGCACACACTCACTCACGCACACACACACACACTCACGCACATACACACACACACACACACGCACGCACGCACACACACACACACACACACACACACACACACACACACACACACACACACACACATAGACACACAAACTCACACACACATTCGCGCACACACACACAAATAAATGATGGATAAAGTAATAAACCAAGAAACTAAGTACTCAGATCCTAAGGTATAACATAATTATAAAACAATAAAAACAAATATAAATAAAACATACAGATATATAAATAATGTAAAGGTAAATATCAGAGTGAAACATGTTTATTTGTCTGTCTTTTGAAGGTGTAAAGAGAGGAGTAGGAATATATTTGCGTAATGTTGGAAACAGGAAGCCTCTGAGGTCTGAGCGACCACCGCGGTGCCGCTGAGGCTTTCACCGAAACCTGCTCAACACCACAGGAAGCAGTGAGATTACTGCAGGGCCTCTACCAACCCCACACTGCTCCAATACTGCCAGCTCTGCCAGCCGAACACACGGATCCTCTGCTGACCATTCACATCAGGGGCTCAAACTCACACACAGTGGGCCAACATTAAAAATGGGTACTAGTCGAGGGCCGGACTGGTTCAATGTTTATTGCAGAACTTACTGAAATTAACTTATTGCACATATTAAACCTGGAACTAACAAAGCTTAAATGATTGCCTATAAAAACAACATTAAACATTAAATAATCAGGTGCATTCATTTCTTATGGCTCTATCTGCAGCTTTTCCAGAGTCACTTCTTATGAGTACATTTTCCCACAGGCCAACAACAGCTTCAAGAAAACTATTCCCCTCAAAGAGAAAACCAAACATGCCCTGTTGTCGTGAGAGAAAGTGCAGAAGGAAACATCCATTAAACTCAGGTTGCTGCTCTGTGATGCTAGTTCAGATACTTGGCATCTCATCTCGGGAGCAAGGTCATCAATGTTTGGGCTCAGGCTCTGAGCGGAGGAGACCCTCAGGATGGAGTGAAGGTGTGCTGCAATATACCGGCGGGCCAGATCTAATAGTAATTAGAAGTTATCCTGCGGGCCGAAATTAAATCCACCAAGGGCCTGATTTGGCCCCCGGGCCTCGAGTTTGACACATGTATGTTTTACATGCACTGAAACCAGAAGACACTACAGCAGAGGGAGCAGCAACACAATATAGGGCCTCTTTAAAGACTGTATTTCTATTAAAGAAGAATAACTTACTCAAAAGAGTTCATCTGTTAAAAAGTCAACACATTTTCAAGTTTCAGATCAGAAGCTGCTGCAGAATTTTGCCTCACTTCCTGCTACTGAACGTATGTGTGGGCATGTGTGTTTGTGTCTGTGTCATACACACACACAAACACACACACACACACACACACACACACACACACACACACACACACACACACACACACACACACACACACACCACACACACACTCACACACAAACACACACACACACTCACACACACACACACACACACACTCACACACACCAGAATTGTTAACTGTAACAAAATACATGGCTACAGATAAGAGTCCATAGACATTTAAAGTATGTTGGGTAACGTCGTCATTTGTGTGTGTGTGTGTGTGTGTGTGTGTGTGTTTGTGTGTGTGTGTGTGTTTGTGTGTGTGTGTGTGTGTGTGTGTGTGTTTGTGTGTTTGTCACCACAGGAAGTGTTTAAAGGTGAGAATAACCCGTTGGTGAGTCTCCCCCCCCCAGATGTAAGTTGCTGGGGTGGAAACATATGTTTAACGGATCAGAGAGATGAAACTGCCTCAGACTGAGGGGGGAATCTGAGGACTGACTATATTTCCCATGAGGCTTTGCACCTGCGCTGCTGCCTCTAATGGAGCCGATAACATGGAGGTTATTCTGCAGAACCAGAGTTACTGATGCTGCGGATGAATTATTCACAGAGCTGAGAGCCGTCCAAACTGCACTGATATACACAAATTATTATTATGTACTTCTTCTCTTGATTTGAAGACTTACAATAAGCTTATCTTGTCTTAATTCATTTATACTTCTGAAAACATCTGGAAAAGATATATTTTTTATTGACAAAATAAGTCAACAAATAATTAAAAATGTAAATAATGTCTCTAAAAACGGGGAACAACGGAGCGGATCCAGATTTGCGTCCGATATGACGTAATATCTGAAATGTGGACCCACGGCCCAATCAGAAACGTTGCTATCAGAAACAATGCCCGACTGTTTTGGACGTAATATGGTCTGTGTTTACATTAGCATCGCTAACACTCAGAGCTAACCTGTACTGGAGAGCATGTGTGTGAAGAAGCAGGAAGTAAAAAGGAACTCACCTTGTGGTATAACCGGCAAGAGAGAAAGCCTTTGAGCTCCAGACTGTTTCAGAGAGAATCCTTGATAATCCATGATATGGCGTTTCATCACGGCAGCATTTAGTTTAGACAGTAGCTGCCGGGTCCCGCATGAGCTCAGACCCCTCCTCTTTAAAGCTTTATACCCAAATCTGCACTTTAGAAACAGGAAGTGAAATAGAGGGATATGAGGCATGGCTAGAATCTGTTTGGTATTTTGAGCAAAACACTTCATAGACATGTTTTCTATATATTTCTATATTTCTGAGACCTGTGCTATTGCCTAGAAATAGCATGATCGGTGACCTTTAAAATAAAGTGTATCTGTATATCCACATATTTGTCCATATCACAGTCAATAATATCCCACTTTCATACTGTGTAATTTAACAATAGTGTTTAATTTGTCAGACAGTTATATTTTCCCACGTCAAGTTCTGTTTTATCTTTTATTTTGAGATGTTTAAATTGTATAATTGTTTACTTTTCACTCTTTTTCTTTATTTCTAATTGTGTTTAATATTGTTTTTGATGCTGTTTATATTAGTGCTGTCAAAATTATCGCGGTAACGGCGGTAATTATTTTTTTTGAATTAATTGCGTTAAAATATTTAACGCATTTAACGCATGTGCAGAATGGCCCGCCACATACGTGCCACCAGTGGCAGCGCCAGGGTATGGCTGGGGTAGGCTACACCCATACCAAGAAATAGCTTAGCCCCACCATGAAAAATGATGTTAAAGGAAGCAAAATAAAGTCCGCCAACTCGCGGAGTAAATTGCACAGACAGCAGTTAGTCAGATTGATTTCAGCCACTTGTCTGGAAATACCGAAGACCAGAAACGGTTTTGAAAACTTTTGTCACGTCGTGATCGTCTTCTCGATAGAACATCTTTGATAATGTCTTCTGGCCAATCAGAATCAAGATAACGGCGTGGTGTTGTTGCAGGAAGTCCCGACGGAGAATACTTTTGCTGTAGTACAGGTAACACATAACTGGTACGCAGGTTATGTGCTTAATCTGAAATGCGTACCGTCACTTGTGTCACAAAGCGCATTTGCGTACCGACGTACTTGTGAAGCTTTTCCAGAAGGCGGTTAGATCACCGGACGACAGAGTCGGTCTCCGTGTGCACAGACAGGGCTGCTGTTAACGTCGGTCTGTACAACGGAATTGTGCCAAAACTACGCCAACCGGCTGCGGAGGGAGACTCCCCCCCTTCACTGGAGAACTGCGCTAAAACAGCTGATCACAACGTTCACACTCTGTGGTCAAGAAGTACTCCACTAGCCGCCGCCGCCCCCCCCTCTGTCGACTTTCCTGAAGTACTCCCCCGTTGATAGAAATCAACACGTAATGAATTAAGACCCCCACGGTTTGATGATTGATAGGTGTGTGGGTTGTCTTTCATTTTGACAAGCAGAAAAATGTTATAATAAACATAGATACTGTATGTTAAATGGATATATCCGCCTTCTTTCATTTATCTTTCCATTCCCACAACAATATACATAAATAAATGGCATATTTTGGACATAGTTCGAATGGTGATTAATGCATGTTTAAGCTGTGATTAATATGATTAACATTTGTAATCGTTTGACAGCCCTACTTTATATATATTTTAAAATATGAATAATCTCCACAACACCTGAACATCTCATCTGCTGAAGCTTCAGAAAAACACATGTTGAGTTTCTGTTGTCTCTGTGTGCTGGAACAGTCTGTGTGTGTGCGTGTGTGTGTGTGTGTGTGTGTGTTTGTGTGTGTGTGTGAGTTGTTGTGTGTGTGTGTGTGTGTGTGTGTGTGTGTGTGTGTGTGTGTGTGTGTGTGTGTGTGTGTGTGTGTGTGTGTGTGCTCGAACAGTCTGTGTGTGCGTGTGTGTGTGTGTGTGTGCTCCAACAGTGTGTGTGTGTGTGTGTGTGTGTGTGTGTGTGTGTGTGTGTGTGTGTGTGTGTGTGTGTGTGTGTGTGTGTGTGTGTGTGTGTGTGTGTGTGTGCTCGAACAGTCTGTGTGTGTGTGTGTGTGCGTGTGTGTGTGTTAACAGAGGCGTCCTGACAGCAGTGTGTGTTTCAGCAATGCAGTGTTTCCTGACAGAGACCACACCTCCACACACTCACGCTCACACACACCGGGAGACAGGAAGTTTCCTTCAAAATAAAATAACCAAAACTTTCACCTTTTTAAAAGCCTGACTTGTTTTCTTGTAAAAACGAATTGGTAATTGTACACTGCAGTATTTCTACTGCTACTGGAGTATGAGATCTGAGTGTTTACCACGCTACAATCTTAATTAGTTCATCTAAAAGTGAAAATGCACATTTGTAAAAGTCTCACTCCCTCCTGTTTCAGGGCTTTTACTCTGAAATCCTTCCCCGGAAGTTTCCCTGTTTATTCGGTTGCCTTGACTCGGGTGTGACTGTCTGTAACGGAACCGACCCTCCTGCTGCAGTTTAACCTGGGTTAACACTTTATTTATCCCGAGTAGTTTATGGACAGCATGTCGCACACCGTCATCACCACCTCGACCACCGGCAGGACGTCCGGGGACGGAATGCTGAACCTGGGCTACACCCGGACCATCCCGGGGCTCCTGAAGATAGGGCAGATGGTGAGAAACAACCCGGGATAACATGCTCTTTACTCGGGATAACCCAGGGTCTGTGCCCACCGATACCTCCGGAGGTGTTGGCCGGTAGCTTCGCAGTTAACACGCAGTTCATATAGAGACAGAGGGGTTGCATTTTATGGGAAAAGTGTTAAATGTATGTTTTTTTTAATGGACCCTGGTTGTTTATATCGGTCATGGTTGCACATTTCCACTGAACTATTTTACTTTTTGTCTCAATAAGCATAGTTTTCTTAAAGTATCGACTGTTACCTTCAAACCTTGTATAGAATATCCTCATCATTTCCAAAAAAAGCTATTTAAATTAGTATTTTGTATCAAAATACCTAATTTTATTGTTATTTTAAACACACTGATGTGAATACTGCTGTGCAGAGGTGGAAAATACATTTAAGTACTGTACTTAAGTACAATCATGAAGTACTTCTACTGTTCTTGAGTATTTCCATCTAATGCTAAATCACGTAATTTTACTCCACTACATTTATTGATTAGTTTTATTTATTAAGCTTTAGTGACGTTTCAGATTCTGCATTAAAAAAACACGTGATAAACTTTGAAAATAATGCATCTCGATTAAACTAGTGGACGAACTGTTGAAGGTACAATAACATGCAATTTACCCGGGATAACATGCACTTTACCCTGGATAACATGGCCTTTACCCGGGATAACGTGCACTTTACCCTGGATAACATGGCCTTTACCCGGGATAACATGGCCTTTACCCGGGATAACATGCACTTTACCCTGGATAACATGGCCTTTACCCGGGATAACATGCACTTTACCCGGGATAATATGCACTTTACCCGGGATAACGTGCACTTTACCCTGGATAACATGGCCTTTACCCGGGATAACATGCACTTTACCCGGGATAACGTGCACTTTACCCGGGATAATATGCACTTTACCCGGGATAACGTGCACTTTACCCGGGATAATATGCACTTTACCCGGGATAACGTGCACTTTACCCTGGATAACATGGCCTTTACCCGGGATAACGTGCACTTTACCCGGGATAATATGCACTTTACCCGGGATAACGTGCACTTTACCCTGGATAACATGGCCTTTACCCGGGATAACGTGCACTTTACCCGGGATAACGTGCACTTTACCCGGGATAACGTGCACTTTACCCAGCTCACCTTGTCTGAGGCCTTATAGCATTTTTAACAATGTTTCTCCTGCAACTTCTTATTTATGTAATACTTCTACGTCCTCCTTCAGTCTATAGGACATATAATAAATAATATCCTTAACATACAAATATATCTCACATGGAGGCCATTTATCTGCAGAATTATATTCATTTTTTATACTTTAAGTACAATTTATCTTAAAGGTCCCATGTCATGCTTTTCCGGTTCGTCCCCTTGTGTGTTATGAACAGGGGTGCACATAACTTTTTTGCCCTGGTTCTCAAAGGAGCACCTGGAGATGTTGCTTGGTGCTCATCCTTAAAATGAAATAAACCATAACTTTTGAGGGGGTCTTGACTTTATTTGCCAGACACACGGCACAGAACACACATGCAGGTGAACACAGAACACACATGCAGAGGTGAACACAAGACAACATTAGCACGACCAGTAATCCTACAAGCTGTCATCACTTCCCTCCTGACTGTTCTCCTCTCTGTCTTCCTCTCTGTCAGACATGGTAGCTGATGATGTAGGCCTACTACTTCCTCTCTGGTTGAGTCTGTGATTAGCTGCTTGCATCCACAAGTCAACAGCTGGGTTTGGGTCGAAAGTCTCTGTTGTGATCATCTTAGACAAGTGGATGTAATCAAATAAGTATGTGAACATAACCAATAACCTACCATAGCCAATAACAAATGAATGTAACTTATTTTATTTGTGTTGTTCATTCATATCTTATTTTACCTTAACATTTATTTATTTATGCATTTTTTTTTATCTCTCCAGTTTTAAAGGATATTTTTGGTTACTAACCTATAGTATACATTGGAATGATTTTAAAACCTGTTTATCCCAATAATTACAAAGGAGTGCCTTGGAAATATGTGTTAACATAAATTGTTACCAAACCGTTTGAACTTAGACTAAAGTGAACTATCTAAACACTCAGAGTCCTTTACCTCACTGAGCTGTAGTTATCAGCCTCTCAGTCTGACTGGAGAGGACTCTCCCTCCACATCATTGTAGAAACATCTTCTTCTTCTTCCGTTAGAGCAGCTAGCACCAGATTCTAATAACAACAGCGCTGGTACCGGTGCACCCTCCCTCTCTCCCTCGCATTTTGGCTGTGAGCTGCGGGCGCCAGATAAGCCAACATCCCCCATTTTCATCACTTACAGCGCCCATCGTACAGGGCAAATGAAAGGTGGAACCGGGGTGAAAAGGGTGTTACATTTACTTAATTATGAATATCGTTACATCAAGGCCAAAAATTAGGATGAGCCCCAACGGTCAAAATGTTTTTTTCCCTCCCAGAACTGCCAGCGCAGCACCTCCCCAGATCTGGCACCCTAGGCGAACATCTAGCCAGAGCTACGGGCCGGCCCTGAGTTCATATCATGGTTCATATGCAACTCGCAAATATCTTTCTCTCTCTCTCATCTCTCCTCTCTCCTCTATTTTCTCTTCTCTCTCCTCTATTTTCTCTTCTCTCTCTCCCTCTCTCAATGTTGGTACGCAAATGCGCTTTGTTTCAAATGACCCGGTGCTCTTTTTTTGGCGCAGGTGCGCATGCGCACCTGCGCACCAGTTATGTGCAGCCCTGGTTATGAAGGTGTTTCTGCATGTAAACGGTCTGCAGTCACAAACCCTCAAAGTGCACCCTGTAGCGAGTAAAACTCTAACACAGAGAAGACCTGTCTGTGCTGCCCCAGAACGCCTCGTTGGACATTTCTCTTTGTCCATTTTTTACTTCCTGGGTACAGTGACGTGCCCGTACCCAAATGGACCCATCGGTCCAAATGGAACAATCCGTGGAGCCGTTACGTTACGTCCGCGGAGCCGCTAGTCCATTTGGACCAATCCACGGACTTCCTCACACACACTCAATCTTTTCTCAACTGCAGCTCCGCCGATTTCTCCTCCCTGAGACGGCGGGACGCGGCGAGGCTGTGAGTCGGTGTGTGAGCACACACACAAACTCCCAGCCACGCTGCGGGTGTGTGTGTGTGTGTTTGGGCTGGGTTTCGCTGTGTCTCGCTGTCTCGCAGACGGCCACTGGGCTCACAGGGAGGGGGGGGCAGGAGCTCCAACAAGCCATGTAGGACAGAGAGTGAATACACAGACTATACAGAGATGCTGTTTGAGAAACCAATGTGAGTTTGGAACATTGAACAATGTACATCTATTCTAGTAGACCTCAACAATGGAACTATGATCAGTGGAAATGGCCATGACACGGGACCTTTAATAATACTTCTGTGCTTTTACTCCGTTGTTCAGGACGTTTACTTGCACATTTTAATACTAATAGTTCAGGTGAAAACTTTAATGTTGGACTGAATATTTATACTTTTACTTTGCACATGTATAACATCTCAGTACTTCTTCCTTCTCTGCTGCTGAGTGTTAACGTGTTTACTAAAACATAATCATCTGGATCAAAGACAGCAGCAGTTTACTGAAGGAATGATACGTAATAGAATATTTAAATCTCAAGTTTATTACAATTAAAATATAAAACAAACAGTCAATTCAATTAGAATGTGTTCACAGACACACACACACACACACACACACACACACACACACACACACACACACACACACACACACACACACACACACACACACACACACACACAGGAGATAGCTCGACGAATGAAACTCAACAATTGTTTTTCTGAAGATTCAGCAGAATTGTATTTATTTATTACAGGATAAAAAAACAATAACTACTTCTTGTCATACTCTGTAAAGCACTTTGGGCTGCGTCAAGCACGAAAGGTGCTATATAAATAAAGTTTATTATAAATAAAGTTTATTATAAATAAAGTTTATTATAAATAAAGTTTATTATAAATAAAGTTTATTATAAATAAAGTTTATTATGTGTGTGGTAACAATATAATAGTAATGTATCCTAGAAGGGGGGGGGGCATGTAAATAGTAGCATGACCTTAAAGAAGTAGAAAGGGGTGTTGGCTGACCCGAACCCACCTTTGACCTTTAAACCACTTTTCTTTTCACTTCCCCACAGTCTGATGGTTAACCCCGTTGTAAGGCTCCCTTTATGTTTCTCACGCCGCGCTGTGCTTCCCGTCCTGCAGGTGGCGCTGCTCGTGGCCTTCCTCTGTGTTCGCTGTGCGCGGGGCTGGCCCAGCTGGGCGGCCTTCCAGTTCTTCGAGGTGGTGTCGCTGTGGTTCTTCATCGCCTTCCTCCTCTTCTTCCTCATGCACCTGTTCCGGCTGCAGGCCAAGATGCCCTGCTTCAACTGGCCTCTGACGGTGAGACCTCTTAGAAGCACCTTTCTTTATTACCATGAACACACACACTAATTTGACTTAATGCCACACACACGGATATATGCTGCCACGGATATAAAATGTGCATTCATCCGCCGCTGAAAATAGTCCCAATAAAATGCGCTCCAGTGTTGATTTAATGAAGGAAAAGTGGAGAGAAGCAAACTGAGAGGGTTTCTAAATCAGACACATGCTGAAGGGGATATGTAAGAGTTTACACAACCAGATGTCATTCATGTTCTTAACTTTCTAATAAAGCTTCAAATGTCATTTTCATTAAAGCAAGAAAATAGGATGTTTTGTTGTTCAAATAAAAATAGCCTACAGTAGAGACATTTTACAGCAAATACAACAACAGAGATTGTTCAGAATATCAGTATGAGAAAAACGACACCCTCTGTCCTTAGACCCTCTGTCCTTAGACACTCTGTCCTTAGACACTCTGTCCTTAGAATAATACCGTTAATAATAGTATTGTGTGGATCTGTTAGTTCAGCTGCGTAGCTCTCTTTGTGAGGCAAAATAAACACTTTCTTAAAGCGCACTCAAATATGAAATGCAGAAATGAAACGACCGGACGTGGCTAACAGCACTGAGTCGGAGTCAGAGAGTATATAATGATGGTATTTATATTGCACATGTTATATAGCAGAGAGTCAGGGTTCGAGTTATAATCGGAGCTTTATGGGGATCTTTAAAACTAAAGCAACACACACACACACACACACACACACACACACACACACACACACACACACACACACACACACACACACACACACACACACACACAACACACACACACACACACACACACACACACACACACACACACAGAGCAGCCCTCTACTTGCTACAAACTTAAATATGAAAAGGTTCAACTAGCACACACACACACATCTCGGCTCGCGCAGCACGCTCACAGGCATCGATTGCACACCTTGGAGGTGCAGCGCAGGCATATTGTCTTCAAGAGAGAATACGGTGCGTAGTTATTTTGGGAAACATGTTTTTCTTTCATTTACCTCGTTAATGTAAATAATACTGGTAATGGTTGTTGGTAACAGATGTGTCACAGATGTGTCATTCCACTGCTTTAGGAGCTCAGACCCTCCTTATGGGAGCTCAACTCCCACATGACTCCAACCCTGCAGAGAGTGTGTGATGATGGTGCTGTGGAGGTTCTCCTGACTGAAGGGGGAGGAGTTATAGAGTTTGATGGGAGTAGACTGAATGTTGAGATGATGTTACGATGTGTTTGATGATGAGTCTTGTGCTCGCTGTGCTTCAGGAGTTCTTCCACTACTCGGTGGGGGTCGTCCTCGTGTGCATCGCCTCCATCGTGGCGGCAGTGAAGGCGGGGGGGGTTTCTGCGCTGGTGGTGTCATCGGTACGACACACACACACACACACACACACACACACACACACACACACACACACATTCAAACAGCTGGAACTAAATGAGATGTGTGTGTGTGTGTGTGTGTGTGTGTGTGTGTGTGTGTGTGTGTGTGTGTGTGATGTGTGTGTGTGTGTGTGTGTGTGTGTGTGTGTGGTGTGTGTGTGTGTGTGTGTGTGTGTGTGTGTGGTGTGTGTGTGTGTGTGTGTGTGTGTGTGTGTGTGTGTGTGTGGTGTGTGTGTGTGTGTGTGTGTGTGTGTGTGTGTGTGTGTGTGTGTGTGTGTGTGTGTGTGTGTGTGTGTGTGTGTGTGTGTGTGTGTGTGTGTGTGTGTGTGTGTGTGTGTGTGTGTGTGTGTGTGTGTGTGTGTGTTTAGGTGTTTGGCTTCATCGCCACGTTCCTGATGGCGGTCAGTTTGTGGACGACCTACAGCGTGAGCTGCGGCCCTCACCAGACCGGTACCTCACCTTTAATATTTATCTCATTTCCTACTTCCTTGCTTACTCTCATCCGTCCTTGCTCTTTTACTTCCTTCCTTCTTTCTATCTTAGCCTCCATTCTAGCTTCCTTCCTTCCTTCCTTCCTACCTTTCTTCCATCTTTCTTTCTCTTAACTTTCTTTCTTTCTTACTATCTTACAATGCTTTCTTCCTTTCATCCTTCCTTTTTCCCATCCTTCCTTCTATCCTAACTATAACCCTTCCTTCCTTTCTTCTATTTCTTGTTTCCTTTTCCATTGCTTTTGGGTCCTTTCTACGTTCCATCATGTCATTGTATACTTCCTTCCTCGCCTCCTCGCCTCCCCCCCCCCTCCAGGTGCAGTAGTGTAAGCAGCGTTTCATCATGAAGCAACCAGACAGCTGTGTTTGCAGTTTGCTGTGTCCCGGTCCATTTTCTGCCTAGCAACCACCCGGATCATTCACCTGATTGGATCAGAATCATTCCTGCAGAGGTAATGGAACAGCTGATCCAGGACCAGCTGTCGTTTTCTACAAGCTGAAGCGTAAATATCCCGATCATCCCGGTAGAAACCCCGACAGGACGGCAGTCTCAGTGTTCCTCAGAAACCCAGAATACATTTAGATTCCCTCTCTGACTTCAGAAGTCACATTTACATGTTAAAGGTGCTCAGTAATCATCAGTGTATTAATAGAATCAGTATCAACAAATGACACAGCAGTGCACCTTGTATTGTCCTCACAACTACATTTCCCATCATGCCTGCTGCTTCCCGCCCTAAATTTCCCTCTAAAAGCTAAACATGTCGTTTTTTAATGTTCCTTCCTTCCACCACCTGCTTTCAAATATATGGAGAAGCTTTTTTAGGACAGTTGAAGCTGTGTTTGAGCTCTAATAGTCTAATAGGACAGAGCCGTCTTCCTGTTGTGTGCCATAAAACAATCACAACCTTTTCCCGCCAAAATACAAATCCAGCCGATTTCCCGCCAAAATCTCACAAGTCGTAGTTCAGCCTCCGTCACGCGTCGTCATTTTGTTGCACATTTTCTGTGGTTTACATTAAATAGCTTGAATTTATCGATTCAAATAATTCAATCTTACTTTTATTCTTCAGTAAAAAAAAAACACTCTGGACCACTCTTTTTTATACTCACGTTTCTTAAATGCTCAACACTCAAATGGTGCACAGTATAGCCCTGTTAGCCCGCTATGCTAATGTTTGCTAGCACACTTTGGATGCTCATTCTTCTGTGCTAACAATCATTAACAAGCTAACATTTTACAGAAAAATAACCTGCATGCTAATGACTTTGTTAGCATGTTAAAACATTACTCAGGGGCTAATACTTAAGTGTGCTAAAAAAAACATACAATAGCATGCTAAAAAACTAATTCTGTGAATTGAAACAAAAAGAAACATTAGCATGCTAACACAATGCAAACAAACAACACGGAAAAGTGCTTCACTTGCAATTAAAAGAAAAGTCTGGTGATGATTGATATTTCTGTTAGTCAACGAATCCCATGTGCAGAACCAAACCAACAATGATTTAGAAAACAACAACAACAATTATCTTGCCTTCATTTAGCGACAAATATGGATTATATCGCTGCTGAAAATGGTCCCAAAAAAATGCAGATTTCCTTTAAGATTTAAGAGGAAACTATCTCACACACACACACACACACACACACACACACACACACACACACACACACACACACACACACACACACACACACACACTATCTGACAGGAAACACAACGTTTTAAGATGTTCTGCACATGAGGTTTTTTGACAACAAGAAAAACAGAATACCACCAGTGATAATCCTCAAGCAGTAACCTCAGTACTGTTTTAAATGAAAGTGTGCCATTGATTTGAGATATTAACAACATGAACCAAACCGTCTTCCATCGGGGCGCGGCTCCCGTGACACATCTCATAACTTCCTGTGGAAATCGATCGGCTGCAGTTCAGAATCAAAGGGCGGCATTTATTACAGTTCCTCTCACATTCAGGACAGACTCTACTGTCCTCGGTGCTTTTACAGAATAAAACTGCTCGTCATTTAAATCCAAATTCACTCAAAATGTTTCAGAAAGCACATCATTTCTTATTGACTGCAAAAAAAGAGAGCAGTTTCCATATTAAACTCAAAAAGTTATAATGATTTCTATGGAGCAAATGTTTGAAAAGGATTGTGGAAATCTGTTGGCACGGATTCATGAAGTTCCCGCACATATACCTAAAGTAAAATATAAAGGATGTAAATGGCAACGTACACATGAATATTTAACTATTTTGTACATTTTAATACACGTGGATTTATTGAATGTACGCACGCATTTGAAACGCTTATGCATGGATTGTATAACATGGAGAATAATAACTGACTGCTAAAAAGATAAACAACAGATTAATAAATCAAACATTTAGATAAAAATCTACGCACAGATTAATAAAACATATGCATGCGATGAATACACACATGGATTATAAAACATACTTCTAAATTGTACGACATAAAATGTATTTACGGTGGATTTTAAAAGTATATATTGATTAATGAATTGTATTTACAGATAAAGAACACATGCATGAATTGATTAAATGAATGCACAGATTATATGGAATACTGATTTAGATTAAAAGCACTCAATTATAGTCATCCTTAAAAGGCTTTACAGTGATGTATTATTCAATTGTCCTTCTGACGACATAAGAGCGAATATACTATCGACTGGGGTCGGAAAAAATAGTGAAAATACAACAAATATCCGATTTGATGCACGTAAGAGAAACAGAGGTCCCACTTCTCTGTTAAAGCACAACACGTCTCCAGATACCTGGTCTCTACCCAACCCTCACATTTTATAGTATTTTCACTATTCGTCTGACTTTGAAATAGTAATCCGTGCACAGATTTCCACGTCACATGACTCCCAGCTCCGTAGATTTCTGACCAATCAGAGGATCTGTGCCATTAAGCCGAAGTTATGTTGACGGTACGACACGGTTTGCAGTTTATCTTTTAGTTCAACAAACATTTCTGACGTGCTGAATATTTGATTTATGTTTTAAAGCACACGGCTGCAGACTTTGAACGACTCTCTGATCATGTTCAATTAGCTTTTAGCTTGGCTACCCGATTCTCCCTCTATAATGACTGTTATTTTTAAAAGGCACGTGCATTACTGACACTAAAACAACACCTCTTTCCAAGCCCTGAAAGTTAAATGTCTTTTAAACATTAGCTGCTTCTAGCTTCGTCTTAAATTAGCATAACATGTTTGAACTTGAATTAGAGATCTTAAAAAAGAGTTCAATAATATGATGATCGTGACGTTCTAGTCAATGAAGTACGTACGAAACGTTTCATATTTAAAAATAAAATGTGCTAATTGTAGGATGTTTGACTATGTTTTGACTAAGACTAGTTTGCTATCAACTGTTAGCATATTAGCAAAAGAGATCACTTGAATCCACCTGCTCTGAAGGGATGAAGTAAAAAATGTATTTAATGTAAGTATTGGTAAGTAACAAGCTTGCATAACTTGGCCCCTCAGTAAAAGTAGAGCTTTATTAACTGTAACAGAAGATAGGTGGATTGGGAGAACTAAATTAGCACTGCTAACGCTAATCTTAACCTAGCTAAATCCTCCTTTGAGCATAAAATGAGGTAAAACTTAGATAACTAGCCTTAGGTAACTAGCCTTAGCTAACAAGCTAAACAAGCTATTTTAGTCTAACTTGGCACCACTGTTCATGATAACATCGCGCTTACTTAGCTAAACCTTTTCCTCGTTGTTTTTTAAACAGAAATCTATCTGTTAGCAGCGGAGACATGTTTGTAGAATTAAAACTGATATGTAAATATGGCTGCTGGAAAACTGAGGCTGTGTTTGAGTGAGAAACTTTCTGACATTTCTTGCTTCAAAACTCTACAATTGTTGATCCACAGATAACTGCCTTACTGTTGATCAGATGCCAAAAATATGAGAGTAAAACTTTGGACTTTGCACTGAATGTGTCCTCTTACATGCGTCCAAAGCAGCTCCGATTACAGAATGAAGGATTTATGTCTAATCTGACTTAGAGTCGAGTGTTTCTCTTTGACTCTGGCCATGTTAAAGGTTTACTGGTGAATTATAATGGATTTAAATAGAGCTTATTGCCTAACTTCTGGTGCGTTCCCTACAGCCCCGACACACTGTGTGATGGCAGCGGTCTGACAGAATAACAACTTCACACTGTGAGATTAGTAATATCACATTTTGGTTGATCCGTAACCGATAATGCAATGAATGTAAATACAACATTTTGAACACAAAAACTGACCAGTGAAAACCGCTGTGAAGCCAGCATACAGAAACTAATTATTTAAATAAAAGCTGACCTGATTCAATTGCTCTTTTCAATTCACGTAAAATGACCTTGTTAATTCGACAGAAACCACAAACCCTAAACTACGTTGTCTTTGCTGCCACCATTTGCATTTTCTCAACTTTTTACAATTTTAGGAAAGTTTGAAAGTTGAATGAACAAAGCTTCACTGCCTTCCTATAGTTTGGTTTTATGATTACCTGTTCATGGGTGCTAGTTTACCAAATGTGGGTTAATAAAGCGAACAACAACATATTTCATAATTAGAGATTACATTTTTTGTAAGGCTCTCAATAGATCAGGTTTAAGTGCAAGCCTCCGGAAGGAAAGGCTAATCAGAGCCAATGTAGTCCAGTTTTATAGAAGTCTATGAGAAAATGACCCTAATGCTCTCTTGATTTATTACCTAACGTTTTCCTGATGAGTTTATAGTCTCAATCTCTAGTTTCAAGTATTCTTCAACACAGCATGATGTTCATTTAGTCAATGGGGTAAAATAGACGATAAAGCAGCCGATGCTTTAGGGCGGGGCTAGCTGTGATTGACAGGTTGTTGCCACACTCTTAGCTCTTCGCAGTTGAAGTTTTCACTTCCTGAAACGTCATTTTGGTCGCCTGAAAATATCTTGTTCAGCGTGTCATGGCCTGGCTCTTGGCCATAACAAAAGCGTGGAAAGGACAAGATATAAGAAAATATATTTATTACAATAACCCAACGTTAATCAAAACTAACATAAAGGCAAGTCAAAAGCATAAACGAAGTGGCTGCTCTCCCAAAACAGGTCCTCCGTGGAGAGAGACTCTGGCTCAGGCCTTTTACTCCTCCGGTACCGGCAGCCAGGTGTCCTCAATCAACACTGACACAGACAAAGGGAGAACATTAAAGGGCCACACACACACAACAGGAGATATCAAAGCAGGGGTCGTCACAAGCGGCCAAAAACCAATATGGAAAAGGCAAAACAAATCCAAACTAAAAGGCTTTAAAACGAAAGACCACGTCCTTTTGTTGATTACAGGCTTTGATCAGATCGCAATACAATCAGATGTTACACAACCATATTAGACTGAATACAATTTGTTCTCATTCGGGTCCCAGAGTCACATCTTGTCTCCTAAATATCTCAACAGGCGTCTTAAAGTTAGTGGAAGTATCTCACAGTGTGATCTTAAAACACCATTTTGGATTAACCGCCAAAGATCTCAGCTCGTCTTCCCTCACGATCGTCAGCTTTTACCCGAGGCCGCCCAGAATCACACAGTGTGTACGCGGGGGTTTCCAGTTCAACACCATTATAGTCACACCTATTTCAAAGCTGTTTTCTACAAAGCTTTACATTGCTGAGTTTCACTTTCAGATATTGATGTTGCTTCCTGGTCCCAGATGTTCACATGCTGTGTATTTGCTGCTTCACTGTACTGTATTTACATTTTGGTCTGGACCAGTTTGACATTTGAAGGACTTATTTTATATTATCGATGCACTGATAAAATGTAAAATGCTGATACCATGTTTAGTTAGTTGATTAATGAACTCTTGATTTGTATAATAAGGACCCTGCATTTGTTTAATACCACTGGACACAAAGACATGAGACCTTTTGAGATTTTAGTCAGCGTGCTTTGATTTGTTTTTAAGATTTTTTGTATTTTTATTGTGTAACTTTTGATATACCAGGTTTTTCCATCAGTATCTGCCCACGGTCCAGTTTTGGTATTGAATTTTGATTTTTTTTTTTATTGGTGCATCCTTAATTTTATATATTGCTGCCTGGAGGTTTTGTCTGGAACCAGAATGAATCAGAGTGTTGCTCCTCAGATAAAGAAATACTGTGACTATCAAAGACGATTAGCACACGATTCCTTCTGGCTCCAGGCCGGACAGAAGCAGACTGTTTACATTATTTATTTTCTGCATGGTTGTATTTTCTGATGCTTTATGATGCCATCTGTTCTCACTGATGCAAAGTGACCCTGTGAGGCGGTGAGTCCACTGGGAGATCCAGAAGGCTGAACTGGTTTGAAATGTGATGCGTAAAGATCCCGGACTATCATGAGGCGTTGTCTGGGATGGGAAGGACATTTCACAGTAATCCAGTTTTTCAGATGGGTGTAAAGTTAGAAGAAAGACTCTCCAAAAACAAGTCGGAAATAATGAAAACAAGGTATTTTCACTTTAAATAAGTAGAACAATCTGCCAATAGAACAAGTGAAAATGTGCTTTCTTCAAATAAGAAGGGATATTTAGATAAATCAGATCTTGTTATTAGATGAAAAGTTATTAAAAAAAGTTTCATCTGAAATACAACTCAAAATAAGATGTTTTGACTTAACAAGATGATGCAATGTCTAAAACCAAGACCCTATCTCACTGCAGTGTTACTTCTGAAGTTAGTGTGTCTTATATCAGGTGTAAAGATATATTCTGACTAGATATTAGGCAAATACACTTGGCAAGATTTCAAGTTTTTGTAGTGAATAACGTTAAACTAGAGATGGTGTGGGATGTCTTTATTTTATTCCCTATGCTTTGTACTTTATAAGAAGGAATGTGTACAACTTTCAGGGTAAATGAAGGCTTGTTTAGTCTCTTAAAGTTTGAGTTAATTATCTACCTTGATACAATACGATGGGATGGTGAGAAACAACATTTCGACCCCCCTTTCTGTATAACAAAAATTGATGAATGAACAATAAAGTTGACTTGGACTTTGATATGTCCATCCATCCATCTTCTACCGCTGATCCGGTGTCGGTTGTGTGGTGCAGTGATGACGTGTTTCCAGGACCATTTAACAAACATTAAATTCAACTTATTGTCATTTCAGGATTGACTTTAGTCTAACCTTATGAAATTGTCGGACCCTTGATCTGCGATTTCATGGTTATCATTCATATTCGCCGTTCAGGAAAAGGTTAAGGTCAGAGACAATGTTAATATGTTATTCTGGTTTCATAGAGATTGTTAGCAGAAGTTGACGATACATTAAAGCTAAAGTTCCGTGTAGATGCTGTTCTGGAACTTTTGATGGTATCATAATCGGTTAAAGCAGGGTTACACGCACGAGGAATTTGCTTTGGTATAAGTGGTGCATACAGAGACACAGAAAGTAGAATACGTAATCACGTTATCTTCCGATCTTCTCTTAGCTCTATCGTCTAAGAACTCTATCGTCCAGTTCTTCGACAATGAGCTTGACATTCAAAACACATTGATGGAATGATATCTGCCGGGATAGATCGCGTGATACCGTAGAAAGTTCCAGAACAGATACTGAATGGACCCTTATGTGAGAATGTTTCGTCAACTTTCCAAAAGTCATCGAAAGGAAAGATAGGAATCAAGAGAGTCTTTCAATTTAGGATTTTAATGGAAGAGAAGTCAATGTGTTTTTGTTTTGTTACTTTCTTACTTTACACCCATCCAATGTCACGTTACACACCTTGAACGTTGTGTAAGAAGAGTGTGTACAAACTTTACAAACCTCTATGTGACGGAAATGTCCGGATTCTGTGAGATGTCAGTCCACTTTTCTAGATCAGTGCTACTAGCAAATCAGCTAAAACATGAACAAAAATGGTGGTTCAAACAGGAAGAGCCCAGTGGACTCCTGAGCGTTCAGATTATTTCTGTTTTTCTCCAAAGTGCCTTAATGTTCTGTTGATGTAAAGATCGGGTCATTAACCTGCAGTGTGCAAGCTAATGGGCCGACTTTGTTTCAGCGAGGAAACAGAAAAACTGAAGACAATGAAACCAATTTAAAATGTTGAGGTTTGTGACGGTTGGGGGGAGAGAAATTACGTGATTTCATTTAGTTTTAAAAAGAGAAAAGATGTCCACAGTATTATTATAAGTCACATCACAAAGAGCTCACATGACTTGTGTTGTTTTTCTACATTTTTTAAAAGTGTGTTTAGACTACAAGTTGTGGTTTGTTGCATGTTGTAAATTAAAGGCTCATTGCACCATTTCCGTGTCACGATGATTTCAAGTTTGTGCAAAATGCAATCAATGTCAAATAAGAACATTATTGTAATTGTACTTTAAACGGCGCTTCATCCAGACATCTACAGGCAGACTTTAAGGGCTTTTTAAAACATGTAACCCTCAGTAGACTCACTATAAAACCCAATCAGACATTTCCTCGAATGCTTATTTATCCCCTTGTTTTCACACACACACACACACACACACACACACACACACACACACACACACACACACACACACACACACACACACACTGTACACACATACACACTTATGTCACATTTGGGGACGCACATCTTTACACCCCCCCTTAGGGGACACCACTTTCTGAAGGGGTTAGAGAGATGCTGGTAAGTGGAAAGTATTACTGGGAGTGCCCACATTATCAAAATCATTTTTTGAATTTGTAGAGTTTCTCATTGGTCATGATATTAATGAACACATTCTTTAGAGATGTTTTGAAAAGTCATAATTTTTGCCATTTATCATCAATAATCCGGTCATATGATACTGAGGCCTTAGTCATAACAGGTACTTTTGCTTCAGTCAGATTTTGAATGCAGGACTTTTACTCGTAACAGACTATTTTTACACTTTTTGTAATATTTACGCATTTGCTTCTTTAGTTGAATTTAAGATATGCTATATGTATTTATACCATTTTGGTCTGATCGAGACGTGAACCGGCAATGATGGAAAATTGTAAAACATCTGAAGTCGCTCAACCTTTTTCAGCTTTTGGCTAGCGCAGTTATTGTCTCCCCACAAGCAGAACACCTTCAATTAGCTTTTATGCAAAGTTCCCACGTTCTCTTCAATCTCGTTAATGAACACTTTAGTTTAGAGTTGATAAACATGATTAATTTAAGAGGTACTGGCCCTTTAAATCTGTGCCCCCTCTTCCTGCTGCTTGTAGTTTATTTGTATGAATGAATAATAATAATAATGGGTTCCATTTATAAAGCACTTCATATTTGATTTAAAATCCCGAAGTGCTACAAGTAGTGAGCATGAACAGTATAAATAAACATTACACAACACGGTAGAATTAATAAAAAGCAATACAAAAATAAATAAAAGGGTGATAAAAAGGTCTATGGCTCTTTTGAAGAGATGGGTTTTGAGGCCATTTTTAAAAGCCTCCACGGTCTGGTGCTCTCATTTGAGTCTCATCAATGATCTCTCTGTCCACTTCTCCTGTTTTTAATGCTCAAAAAGTAGAGAATAATTAACGTTAAACAACATATTCATTTGTCCAATGTGTGTGAGTGTGTGGTGTGTGTGTGTAGGCAGGGCATGATGAGAAATCTGACTCACTTCCCCCTCGAGCTCGCTTCATGAGGCGAAAAGATTTCCTCTAAAAACAAACATGACTTAAGGAGCTGTTTTTAAATCTTTATTCACATGCTAACAAACTTTATCCAACTCATTGCATCAGTTCATTTTGTAAAATAAATTTAGAAGAACAAGGAAATTAAAATATAAAAAATCTATGTCTCTTTTTCTTATTATTACTAATTGTTCTATCCACTGTAGTTAAGGTTAATAACAGTTTCATATAAACAACCAATGGCTCTACGGTAAGACATGTAGATTATTCGAAGTAGAAACACACACACATAAAGATAACATCCCATAATGTGCAGCTGCCATCTAACTAATGCTAAAGGAACTGAGGAAGGGTCGCCCCCTGCTGGAACAAACCTGAATAACAACATAAACAAATGATTTAAAGAGGCCCTGTTCTAAAACTGTCAACATAGTCTGAGGCTTTGAGGTTTTCCATTTCACTAATGCTCAACTTTAACTTCGTACACACCGGGAGGGGGGGGGGGGGGGGGGGGGGCCTAGGAGTATGGACAGTTTGTTACTGTGTAACGGGGGGAGTTAGGACCATCAGCGTCAGTTAGGGTCACTGGAATCACTTTGTTTTCAAAAGTGGTGGAGACACCTTTTTCAGATAAAAATAAAACTGCATTGTAACATTTTAGAGTCTTGAACCCGCCGGTTCTCCACAGCGACGCAGATGCAAACAATTCTAAACTACGCATTCTGGTACTCTGACAAGAAAATAAAGCAAAAAGACAACATTTTAAGAAGGCCAATCAACATTACATGCTTTTATCTAAAGCGACTTACATACTCAATACTGTGGGCAATATCCACAGGAGCACTTTGGGGTGAAGGGTCTCAGGGACACGACGACATGCAGTGGGGTTTGAACCTGTGCTCCCCTGATCCCAACACCAACGCACTAGCCCACTGCGCCACAGCCTCCCTACAAAATGCTTTTGGGTAAGGAATAATTATTTTTCCTTAACTTTGTTTCAAACCAGTGTTCTTGTTTATTACATAATAATTATAATAATACATTTCATGGATATCGTACACAAACGTTATCTCAAGGTGCTTCACAATGCTATGAGGAGAAAATAATTAAAACAAATAAAATAAAAAGTTATCTAAGAAGCATATTGAAAAAAATATGGTGATATAAAGAAATTAAAATCAAATAAAAAGGTTAAGAGCATAACAGGTTCAAATAAAAATGAATAAAATAAAGGACAGTCAGTAAAATGCGGTGCAGAACAGGTGGGTTGAGGCTTTTCTTTAAAACAGAGAGTGATGCAGAGGTCTGTTTGTTCTCTGGAAGCTGATCCTCAGACGTCTCTTTGTGTCTTTCAGAACATTTACAAGTTACACTTTTAAAAAGTGGTTGGGACAAAATTGGCAATTTCCAAAGGACCCGATTGCAGAACCCCAGACCAAAGTATTAGTTCGTAATGACTTTTATTAAACCGGCTGCAGGTATATGTATAACATCTCCCAAGGAAGCCCTCAGGAGAACTGAGGCTGACTCAGTTCAGGATGAAGAGCAGCAGGAAGGAGAGGAAGACTCACACTGGAGCACGAAGAGTGAATTTAATATCCTGATATCACTGGGGAGGGGGTTCGTCTGTGAGCAGCAAACCTCAGTTTTCTTCACTAGATGGCAGCATCGACCTGTGAACACACACACACACACACACACACACACACACACACACACACACACACACACACACACACACACACACACACACACACACACACACACACACACACACACACACACACACACACACACACACACACACACACACACACACACACACACACACACACACACACACACACACACACACACACACACACACACACACACACACACACAATACTCAATGATCAATTTCACACTCTCACTCGGTGTGGCAGAGCAACGTCTCGTTAAGAAAAAGACAGAGCTGTGTTCCCCGACTGAAGCCAATCAACAGTGTTGTTTCCCAGCATGCTTTGCAGCAGCCTCAGGTGCTAGCAGGTCCACAGAAACAGCGTTAAATCAGCTGCAGGATGCATCAGCAGCTGCAGGAATCACCTTGCTGACACACACATGTTATATTTGTTTTTTAGGTTGTTTCTTTTTGGACAATAGCAAGAGAACATGTTCAGAATCAGAATACTCTGTTTATGCTGGGATGAAAGGGATAACATAAGATAACTATAATTGTTTTAATAGTTGTATAAACGGTGTGTGTGTGTGTGTGTGTGTGTGTGTGTGTGTGTGTGTGTGTGTGTGTGTGTGTGTGTGTGTGTGTGTGTGTGTGTGTGTGTGTGTGTGTGTGTGTGGCAGCAGGAGGTTTGTTTGCAGGCAAAGCAAATCTGAGCCCAACAGAATAAAATGAAAGACCCAACAGAGACTGAAGTGCAGCCCTGCAGGACTTGATGCACTGCAGAGCTCAGGTGATGGATCAGGAGAGGGAACGAGGCTGGTTCAGAGCAGCTGTGGCCGTGTGCAAAGGAGGAAATACACACATGTCCACACACACAGGAGAGGAACACACACTCACTCATCAGCAACTCGTCCCCACACTTTTTACTTATTGAGACATTTCTACGATGGCCGACAGGTGCAAACGTGTTACAACGACCCAAACCTCTTCCATCAGGAGAAACGCGCTGCAGCTTCAGAAAGGATGCAGATATAAAAACCCAAATGTTCCAAATGAAGAAACATCTTCAGCAACTTGAGGAGACATGCAGCGTTTACTAAAAGATGCAGAAACCAAACGCTGAAGAAGCTCAAACACAACGGAGACCAGGGGACACTAAAGAGTGACGCACACAGCTGGGAGACCAGGGGACACTAAAGAGTGACGCACACAGCTGGGACACCAGGGGACACTAAAGAGTGACGCACACAGCTGGGAGACCAGGGGACACTAAAGAGTGACGCACACAGCTGGGAGACCAGGGGACACTAAAGAGTGACGCACACAGCTGGGAGACCAGGGGACACTAAAGAGTGACACACACAGCTGGGAGACGAGGGGACACTAAAGAGTGACGCACACAGCTGGGAGACCAGGGGACACTAAAGAGTGACACACACAGCTGGGAGACCAGGGGACACTAAAGAGTGACGCACACAGCTGGGAGAACCAGGAGACACTAAAGAGTGACGCACACAGCTGGGAGACCAGGGGACACTAAAGAGTGACGCACACAGCTGGGAGACCAGGGGACACTAAAGAGTGACGCACACAGCTGGGAGACCAGGGGACACTAAAGAGTGACGCACACAGCTGGGAGACCAGGGGACACTAAAGAGTGACGCACACAGCTGGGAGACCAGGGGACACTAAAGAGTGACGCACACAGCTGGAGACCAGGGACACTAAAGAGTGACGCACACAGCTGGGAGACCAGGGGACACTAAAGAGTGACGCACACAGCTGGGAGACCAGGGGACACTAAAGAGTGACGCACACATGCTGGGAGACCAGGGGACACTAAAGAGTGACACACATTAGCTGGGAGACCAGGGGACACTAATAGAGTGACACACACAGCCCCCTAGAGGAGGTGAGGTCCCCCCCAGAGGAGGTGAGGTCCCCCCCTAGAGGAGGTGAGGTCCCCCCCAGAGGAGGTGAGGTCCCCACC